TCAGTAATAATTGGACATGTCAGGTTTCGTTCAATATTTTTTGTATGCTATAGATAGTAGTAACGTTAGTATTAGCTGAGATTTCCAACTCGAAAGGGATTACTCCTTCCTATACGAATGAATACAGCACAAACGGGATTTTTATATTTGTCAAGATCCATTTTTTTTCGATTTTCTAGCGATTTTGACGGAATATCTATATATATATATAAAGAAGAATGTTTTTTTGTGTGTTTGTTTGTTCTTTATCCATTTGGTCCCTGTAATGGCTATCGTCACCAGATTCTTAATAGGAGTCCTTTGGGCTCAGAAGAAGGTCGACATCGGGTTGGGACAGCCAAGGAAGGTAGGAGAGGGGGCTGGGTGAAATTTCACCCAGATAGTTCTGTGATAGCTAATGTCATTAAACTTTCCATGGTAACTCCCTAGGTCCCATGGAAGGTCGACGGAGGGTTGACGACACTGATGGAAGCTAGAGGTGTAAGCCAGTAGGGTCATCGGCGGCGGCGCCAAGTTTAAAATTTTTTTTAAATGTTCGGCGGCGCGGCTGTAGCATTCTAAGGGTGTCAGCTGGCGGCGGCTTTAAATTTTTATAGTTCATCGGCGGCGGCCGCGGCTCAGCCGCACGGCTTACACCTCTAGTGAGAGCTGAGGAGGAAGTACCTGCGTGAAATTTCACCCAGGTGATTTCGTGATAGCTAATGTCACCAAACTGTCCATGATACTTCCTTATATACCGGAAATGTCGAGAGGAGGTTGGAGACCAAAGATGGTTGAAATTTAACCGAATTTCATTTAACTTATTTGATCGATCTTTAGAGAATATATATATTACTACATTTTCGCAATAGTCCGGTGGTATTACACAGAGGTGAGGGTGAGTGAGAAGTGAGATAATCACTCCCACAAAATATTCGTCGGACTCTCACGCTTTATCGTGGGCGTGTGTGTTCGCGGTAGATGAAACTTTAGCCGAAAATCTAAGTCTTTTTAAGTCTGAAGTGTAGTGAAGATAGAGCTGAAACGAGATTTTTAAGAACAAGAATGGATTTTGTAGCGGGATTTGTAAGATAAGGTTTTGCAGCGGAAACTGTAAGAAAATGGCTGGATTTTGCAACGGAATCTCTAAAAAAACGGGTGGATTTGGACTGCTTCAGAGCCTGAGCTATTCTATTCCAGATATATGTGGCGAGATATTTTGTGGTGATAGATGAAAAATTCCAAACACAACCCTTTGAGGGTGTAGGGGGAGGGGTTGAGAGCAGTGATTTATCCGCCGGAGAAACACGGGGCTTTTTGCCCCCTCGGAGGGTACCTCTGCCTCCCTCCCCCGGAACTCAGAAAAATTACGCTTTTTTGCGCCTGATACTCTACGTTTGCCACCCCGAAGAGAGATTTTTGCCCTTCCGGCAACTAATTTTGCACCCTCGGACGAAAAAAGCTGGATAAAACCCTGGATGAGAGTGTGTGTGAAGAGAAGACAATCAGCCACACCTAGCAAACCTTTTTGAGTCGAACTGTCTGCTTCGAGGCTTATTTTTCGAATTCTACTTTGAAAATATCCTAGTAAGCGAAATCTCTGTGGTACTTAAATTGGCCCTATTCAAACTAAAGTATAAATAATAGCAAATATTGCAAAAATAACAGCAAAAAATAGAGAAAATTATTCGATGAAATCAAATTGGTATCGACGTGTTTCAAAAAGAATTTGATCGTTATTGTATATAAATTTACAGGGCATTGTCCAAGATCTTAGACAATAAATAAGAATTAAAGCTATTTTAGCAGCTCTGATTACGACCCAATGATGTCATATTGAAGTTTTTCTCTGTACCATAAAGAATCATTTAATAGTATAACTAGCTGCACTACAATAATCAATAGTTTTGAAAAGCAAGCGATGAACTAAACCGACATGAATTGATTCCGTTTTATGGTAGTTACACATGAGCTGTAAGCTTTGACCATTGAATTAGGATAAGTTTCTGGCCGGAATGTCATCTTGAATGAATATGAAATATTTCAAGAACAGTGGCAGTATGCGAATATGATATGAGTTAATTTCTACAATTCTGCAAATATTTCATTGTTAAACTTATAAGAAATGTCAAATGAGTTGTCAAAGTCCTTATAGTAGAGATGTGCTTAAAGTAAAGATCATAGAATTGCAACTATAATGCAAGGCATCTCAGAATTTGCTATGTTATTGTAATGCACTCATATTTACAGTCGATAGATGGTTGGAGAAGAAGAAGACGACCATGAAAGAAGTTAGGAATAAAGCCTTATGCAATCACTAAGTCTCTTTCTAAACTCATTTTTGCAATTTAGAATCAACTACCACATCAACTTCGACAACAACTTTACCAACAACATCAACATCAACAACAACGTTACCAACAATATCAACATCAACAACGTCAGGTTAGTAATATGCTGGATGATTTGTAATAGCTTAAACGATGAGTATCACAAACGAGCAAATCTAAAAGTTTTGATTCTAGCTGTCCGCTGTTTCTCATCTAGATATAGAACATCAGAGAGCTTTGTATGAGGACTAGAAACAGGATCAATTTTTGATGACTTAATTTCTTTTACAAATAGTCAAATATTGGATATGTCAATCGATTTCAACGGTATCATGTAGATATGTTGTCAATAAAAAGATTCTTAGGGTGAGTGTGGGTATGGGTGTGGATCTAAAATATATCTTATATCCAGACCCACACGCACACCCTTTTTTTTGCCTTCCAGAGGAATTAGAATAACTGAGTTTAAGAACGATTTTAAACATATATTTAAAGATCTGTAACACGATCGTAGATGACGCCATATTTTATCGACATATTGAGTTTTCCACTAGAAGATAGCAGCATACGGATTTGAAAAGAATGTACATGTTAATTTTGTCCGTTTATTTTCTTTTGTAGGAGTCGCATATGCGAATGGAACTGACAGTTTCTGGCCAATGGAAAACAATGCCGTTGATATCATATCAGATCTTGATGGAAAAGGTGTCAACTCACCTACTTATGTAACACCCGACATTACCGGTAGTGGATATGCTTTGCACCTCATCCGTAACAGTAAACAGTACATACAAATACCAATCTTCAAAAGCTTCGTTAATACTAGTTTTACAGTGGAAATGTGGATTTATCCGACGACTTTAAAAAATGGTAATTACTATTTTGGACTCTTTACTCAACGTGATACAGAATCAGCAGGCCACTCGTTACATATGATGATTCGAGGTTTACGGCTGACCTTAGACTTTTATGCTGATGGAGTTACTGGTACAACATCACTAACAAGAGAAACTTGGTATCACACAGCTTTTGTCTACGATTATCCATCAAAAACACAAATTATTTATTTAAATGGATACCAAGAAGCGAGTCGTGTTTCAAATCGGCCATATTTAGGCACGAGTGGTTCGATCAATATTGGGATGTTCCAGGAGAGTGATAACTATCACTATTTTGATGGGTGAGAAAAAAAGACTGAATTATTCTTTGTCATTATCCAATTGAGTTAGAAATATGTGGCTCTAGAAGCACTTTTTTTGCGATATCGAAGATCATATTTTAACTTTTTTATACTATTAGCGAAGCCATGGAGAATGAGCAGAAATGGTCGTGCAATATTTATGTAGATTCGATCTTTAGTATCTCTTATTAATCCGATCATTTTTTGAACAGTATAAAACTTGAAAGAAAACACTAGTCATCGATTTATTTTTTGACTGTATATTGTTCTTATATATTTAGTTACATCGATCAAGTGTCACTCACTATGGCAGCTAAAAGTGCCAGCGACATTCTTAACGATGCTACTTTGGCTTCATGGCATTCATTCGATCGTGATATTACTTATGATTCAGGTCCAAATAAACTCCAAGGGAAGGCATTTGACGTAACATTAGCACCTGGTAAACTGGATCAAGGATTACAGTTCAGCTTGAGTTCATCTTATTATCAGGTATGTCATCGGCTTAGTTGAACTTTTCACTGCTAATACTGTATGAAAGAGAAAATCTGATACTCAACAGTCCATGTATTTTCCATACTAGGGTCTTACCACTTAGAAATCGAATCTTCTCTCCAAAAGACATTTGAATAATTGCAATAAAAACTATGAGAAAGTGCCATGTACAGAAACAAATATTTTCTTGGATAAAGAAGATCTTGAAGAACATATCGAGATCAAAATAACATTTTCAAGTGACAAATAACCGCAACAAAAGATTCTTTATGACCAACGATTTTTTTAAAATTTTGTTTTATTCGTAAATGCTACCTGCATCCCAATTTAGTTTATGGAATATTCTTAAACATACTACAAAGATATCTAATAAAGCCATTCTATAAATTTTTTAACTAATATACTAGTAAATTATGCCATCAAGTAAAAAAAACTTTCCTCCAATGGAATATATAGTTACATAGGAAAAGCAAAAGAAAGAGATTTTAATCTGAACTTTGAGCATATACGTAGTTCTAACGATACTTAGTGTTTTTAAATTTTCAACAATAACAGCCATTTCTTTCTCAAGGTAATGAATATCAAGAGAACATTGATTTTAGCAAGTTTTTACAAAATATGACTGATTTTTTCGGTACGATAAAGAAGCTAGAAAAAACGTTCCAAACTATGATACGGTGATACAATATATAATAACTATTTAGATATCAGGCTATGTCCTTCTTGGAGTCAATAGCAATTCATTTTCGATGTCTCTATGGGTACAACGAACATCGACAGGCGGAGGAACTCTTGTTCATTACTCGACGCAAACAGATGGACAAGGATGGTGTACTGTTCCACTAGGATTTTCCTCTGCTGGTAATATAATTGCTACTGCTTGGAACCCAAACAATCAGGTAACAGGTCCTGTTTTATCGGTCAATACATGGACACATATTGCCACTACCTATTCACGAACACATGGGCTTACATTGTATGTTAATGGAGTATATGTAGGTAGTACAGGTATACAGAACAATGATGCATCAGGTAAACCGGTTATTCTGACATTGGGCAACTCACTAAGTGGTGGTGGATGTAATTCACAGTCAATTGCAACAGGCACATATTATGGTTATTTAGATGAGTTTCGTGTGTACTCTCGTAAACTCAGTGCCACAGAGGTATCTGCACTTTCTAAAGGTAAAGAATGATTTGTTGAGTCACACGGTTTCTTGAATCTTTGTTCTCTTCTTAGGTTACGCCTGCTTTGATGGACTTATGAATGGTGATGAAACGGACATCGATTGTGGAGGCTCATGTCTTACATGTGCTGTGGGTAAAAACTGCACATTGACAAAAGACTGTGATAATGTTCCGTGTATCAACGACATCTGTACAAGTAAGTATGATATTTCTTGAGAACAAATTTATTCAAAAGATTCACCGCTACTTCTTTGAATAGGGTGGTGGCATGAGTATGAGTGCTAGATGAATACCGTATCTAGACTCATACCCACACCCCCACCACACACTCACACCCACACCCTAGGTTGAGACGTAAAAGATGTCTTTATATCCACACCCTCAAGATATGTATCAATGTTATATCTAGCTTTGAGTCCAAACATATTCTGAAACTGACGTTTCACCATCAGGTGTCAAATAACATATTATTTTGATTTAATTTAATAGTAGGTCCATCCGGTAACTCACCATGGAATACAACAGGCATCACGCTACTCTCCTCATCAACAAGATTCTCATGTACACGTATGTTCGTTGATTCCAATGACACTTTGTATGGTGTTGATAAGTTAAAGAGATATGTTTGGAAGTTATCGAAAAATGCCGAAAATGCCGAAGTTGTCGCTGGAATTTATGATTCGACAGGAAGTGATAGTATCAAACTAAACTCTCCTCAAGATGTTTATATTGATCAATATGGAAATATGTATGTGCTCGATACTAACAATCATCGCGTACAAAAATTCATTAATGGAACAAAACATGCAATAACTATTGCAGGTGTAACTGAATCAGCTGGATGTTCTTTAAAGCAGTTACAGTATCCTCGAGGTTTCGCTTTTGATCCAACAGATACATTTATGTATATTGCTGATCGAAGCTGTAATCGAGTAGTACGTTTTTTGACGAATTCAACTTCAGGTACTGATGGAGTTATTATAGCTGGAAGACATATAGCTGACAATACAAACAATGCACTGAATGGACCATATAGTATTCGGTATTTATCATCGATAAATAATGATTTACTTATCGTAAATTGGGACGGACATTCAGTAATACGTTGGGCTATTGGTGCTACCTCAGGTACGTTTGTCGCAGGTCTACCAGGTATATCGTGTTCCAGCTCTATTTGCCTTTCCAAGCCGACGGATGTTAGAATTGATGCTGATCAGAATATGTATGTTGTTGACGAGCTGAATCATCGAGTTCAAATGTTTTGTAAAAACAGTGATGTAGGTTTGACTGTCGTTGGAAATGGTGTCGCTGGTAATAGTCCAACACAGTTAAGAAATCCACAAGGTATCGCATTCGATTCGGCAATGAATATGTATGTTTGTGATACAGAAAATGGACGCGTTCAGAAATTTCTCAAACTTTGAGATAAACAAACTATTATTTGATTGATCTTTTGATTGAAATCTCAAATTACTGGATGAAGAAAAAATGACAAAAACACTTGATATACATTCATGCTTATATTGCAATATCTGTATGTTCGCTTTGTTTCCGCATTTCTCTTCTATATTTCAATAGCTTTCTGTTTTGTTTCATTTCAATAAAAAATAACCGAAATCAAGTAATCATGTATTTTTTTTTTAAAATGACTTGAAGGTTATTTATCTTGAACATGTCGGTAAAGATGCAGTTATCTTCTCGCTGGCATAATATCATCCTACTGATCAACACATATCCTCAAACAGTTTTGTCTTCATACTATTCTTGTATAAAATAACATTTTTGAACAATATGTGATCCTATTTTTCTTATTTTATTAAAGAATTAAATCGCCCATACCATCAACCACAGATCATGTTTCATTCAATGGATCATATAATTCAGCACTCTGAAGAATATCGCTGAAGTTATTTCCACCAGTAACTAAAACCATTCTATTTGTTAGTAATAATGCCGTATGACTCGTTTGTCCAATATTTAAATTACCGGTAATTGCCCAACTTCCAGTTTTTGGATTATATAGTTCACTATTTTTATGTCAAGAATCGGACCGATGAGCACGAGAAAGTTGAGTACCGGATAGTTAAGCACAAATAAAAAAATAAGTCTGATCTCTCTTATAAAAGATCGATCAATGTGTGTGGACGAAGGTGATTAACTTAATATTCACACCCACACCCACACCCACACCCACCCTTGAGTTTCTATTTCTAGAGATGTATAATATGAAGATGAGTAATTCAAAACATATTGATCTATTAGTTAAAATATTTGATGTTATTTAGAATAAATGTTATATGATTATTTTCTAAAGTATGTTTATTTATTTTTTCATCGAATATTAATAGGAAATCATTGTAAATAATATTTAAATATTTATTTTATAAATGAATTTTTTCAAAATAAAAATATTTTCTTAAAATCAACAAGTAATGATGATATTAAATATTGTAATTATATGTCGATAATTCGAATAATATCTGATGTTATTAATTTATATATTTAGAAAATTTCTTAAGTAAAAATTTTCCATCATAGATCATCCTTTTATATTGGTGGTTCATAATATAAAGATTTAATATGATTTCGATTTATTTAAATAATTATGTTAATAGTTCTTCGAGCAAAATGATTTTCTAGAGTGTAGGCGTGGGTTTTCTATTTTATTAAAATGCACACTCATCCTCAAGATGCATTAAGTTTACGCAAATATTTTTCCGAATACACCAGTAATGAATGTGAATGTAATCGTGGGCAATCAATATCGACACGATGCAAAAGATATTGATAAAAAACAAATACCTAAAATTCTTAGGTAAGCGATCTTCATCAAATTCCGATCTTTTCGTCTATAATATTGACCAGAATGACGAAGATAACCCTAGAAAACTTCGAAAATAACTATTACAATTAGTCAATCACACCAAAGAGCCACAAAAACATATCATCGTCAATGATCAAAAATCTGTTACATTAATAATCATATTTATCGAAATACATTTTGTATTATACATTATTTTATATATTCATATTGTTGAATAGTATATGAAGACGACTCATTTTGAAGATGAGCAACTGCACTTTTCTTATCATTTATCTAATGTGTGAAATAAGAATAAAATCAATTGTGCAATATATTTTAGATAACAGATAATGTCCATATATTTTATTCTTCAGGAAGCGTTGTACTTCCTTTGTAAAGGTATGATTTTCAATGTATTATTAACAAGAATAACATTCAATTTTGTTGGAAACACGTTGTTTTCACATCCTTCCTACAAACATTTCAATATCATGAACTTTTTTTATATTTACAACAAATAATCCCTGATATTTCATATTAGTTTTGAAAAAGGAAACAGATTCATTGTTTTTCTTTATTGTGAAATTCAAATGTTGTATTTGCTGCAAATGTTTTAACAAAAAACAAAATTGTCATTGACGTCATCAGATAGGCGAATAGAGAAGAAAAAATAAACCTTTTATTTTTTAATGTTCAGTTTTCAATAAAATATAGAAGAGTTTTTCTATCATTCAAGCCAATTTTCATTGTTGATTATTGGAGAATGTCACTAAAAAGAAACAACTTGTTTTTATTCCATTTAATAGAAGACAAATATCAATAATAATAAATGAAAAAATACAGAAGAATATGTTTTATTATGTAGATATCAACAGAAAAAGAATCAATTTTACAAATTATTTGCAACATTTTTCATTAAATGATCAATAATAAAATAGAAAATATTTCTTTAGAATAAAACAAACGAGAAGATGCTTTTAATAGAATCATCAACTATGTTCGACATTCTTTAAATTATTAAATATCAAGAAATGGATTCTCAAATGATACTTTTCACTTTATTTTTATGTATTTGTTTTCTTTAAAATAAAGATAATAATGAGTGAATGATTCATATGCTCACTATATATAAGCGTCTTTATGTAAAATATTTCTGATTAAATATCATATGTTGATGAAAATAATACCATCACTTTCTTCTTCCAGAACAGTTTTGAATAAAAATGTTATATCTGTTGTGAATATCAAACTCTATGAAGTAGCATGTGACGGAAACTAGTTCAAACAACAGTTAATATAATTATTTCTATCAAAAAAAATATTAACAATCAGCACTTTTTGAAGGAAATACAAAGTTTCCTGAGAGAAAAGAATATATTTGAACAAAATATTTTATTATTTTTCATTTATTCATTTGTAAGACTATACAATTAAGTTGTGACAACTATATTATTAATTATGAAATTATTGTTGAAAAGATATTTCATCGATAAAATACTTCATTAATAGATTAAGATGTGCGTATAAAATATTTTGATGATGTATTAAAAGAGATGAGAATGACAATAAATTAACATCAAGATAAGAGGAATATATCTCTTTATCATATTGTCATTCTCATATTTATTCAAAGTGAAAACAGCGGATTTTAATGTTTCATGATATTAAACAAGACTTGACGATTGATATAATTGTTGTTTCTTTTATGTTCACTTTCTCTACATTCATCTTCAATCACAAACTAAGAAATATATGTAATATTTTGTTTTTTCAGTGAGAAAAAATGACTAAAAGAACATAAATAACTTTTCATAGTGTGGAGAATATTGAGTGACAAATATAATATCCAAAGTTACCGACAGTCACATCTAGATGTAATGATTCAAAGCATCTTCGTATTTTGAGGGTTTGGGTGTCGGTATCATATTTATATCCTATCCACACCCTCACCTACCCACACCCTCACCTACCCACACCCTCACCTA